GCCCCTTGGACTACCTTATAAAATAATTTCCTACCAGCAAATTCTTCTAAAATTATTCCACAAACAACATTGGAATAATTTTGGTCCTAAAGTGCTCCGGTGTGTCAAAAAAATTATAAGTGTTATCATCCAACAAACAACACATACTTCACTTCAAAAAATATCAACTTCTATGAAAAGTATAGTTCTTTCAAACAAACTCATCTTAATGGGAAAACAACAAACTCGAAGATAATTTCAATGAAACCAATCTTCCATCATGACATTCCAATCAAACAAACTCATCTTAATGGGAAAAAAACAAACTCGAAGATAATTTCAATGAAACCAATCTTCCATCATGACATTCCAACCATGCGAACTCTAGTTACTGCACCCTTATAGATCTATACAAAAAAGATTAAGCCCGGCCAAAACCTCTAGAAAACTTATGACGTAAAACTACAACTAACAGTATTAACCCGTCAACAAACACTCAACATTATATCATATTTCCTAAACGCATCTCTTCAATTTTTTCCATTATGCATATAGAAGTTATTACAAAAATCAACTCCAACACAATTAAAATCTCTCAAATCATAATTGAGATACTAGAAAATAAGAATTGCAAAGATGCCACAAAAGGAGAGAAGAATGTATTTCAAAAAAAAAAAAAACACTTGGGATATCATCAAGTTAATAGAAAAGGAAAAACGTTGTGAAATTAAAAAAGAACTTTCATTAAAATGAAGCGCTGATGAAAGCCTGGAGCTATTGAGAAAAGATCAATCCTCAAAAAATATACTAAATCTTACAAAATCGAGTTTAAAAAAATATTTCCTCCTACAAAAATGAATATAATTTTCATTTTGATTTCTCGATACTAATTTGGATGGTTCATGCAGCAACAAAATGTAAGAATACTTTTTGATAACTCTTTCATAAAAAATGGGCAAGCAGATTAACAAAAGTATTTTATGGTTTCAAACAATCTCCAAGAGAATGGTTTGATAAATTTACAAAATTCATAAATGGAATGGATACAAAAAACTTAAGGAGACCATACACTCTCTATAGAAGACAACAAAAACAACAATAACAAGAACAACAAGCCTCATGAATCCTTTTTCTCCATTGTGTTTTATTGAGCGTTATATTTTTATTTAATTCTAATAAACTAAGATCATTTTTATACAATATATCCACGTACTTTTAGGTTTACCTTTATCCTTTTTAACTTAAGTCAAATCTAAAACATCTGCTCTTTTAATTAGAACAATAGATGGTCAAAGTTTAATGTGATCAAACTATTTAAGACAACTCCCTCTAATCTTGTCTGCCATTGGAGCTACACCGGATACATTCGTTTTGAATTGTCTCTAAGTGTCAAGTCACGCATCCACCTAAGCATTCTCATCTCAACAACACTTAACTTAGTTTTATGCTTCTCTTTTATAGAATAGCATTTTGCACCATATAGTATTGCAGGTTTCACCACCATCTCAAAATTTCCCTTTTAAGTTTGCTCAGAACTCTTTCTCTAGTCTTATCCACAAGAAGTATATCATTAACAAAAAGCATACACCAAGTTAGACCCTCCTGTAAATATCTAGTAAGAGCATCCATAATTAAAACAAAAGGATATGAGCTTAAAGCCGATCCCTGATGTAATCCAAGTGAAACAAGAAAATACTTAGCCAACCCTCCTATTCAAACACTAGTAATAGCTATAGTATACATATCTTTAATGACTTGAATATAAGTCATATCAACACCTTTCTTTTCTAAAACTCTTCAAAGAACTTCTCATGGAACTTTATCGTAATCTTTTACTAAATCAATAAAAATCATATGTAGATCCTCTTTACTCTCTATGCTTCTCCATCCAACCTCTCAAAAAATGTATAGTTTCCATGTTAGACTTGCCCAACATAAATCCAAACTGATTGTGAGAAATATTTGTATCAAGTCTTAACAAATGTTCAATTATTCCTATAATTTTACTGTATGACACATAAACTTAATTCATCAATAATTTGTGCACTCTTGTGCATCTATTTTACTCTTAAAAATAAAAATACTCTTCCTTTAAACCTAAGAAATCTTTCAATTTTTAAAATAATATTAAAAAATTTAGTGAGCCAAGAAACTCCCAAATCTCATAAATATTGTCACACTTCGATTGAGATATCATCAAGTACTATTGATTTTTTACCCTTGGTTTTCTTTAAAGCATCCTTAACTTCTTTTTCAATGATGCAATGCTAACAATAAAAAGATTTTGTACTATTATTAACGTAATTAAGATCACTAAGATCGATCGTATTTTTAAAAACTTCAATGAAAAGTTTGTCAAAATATTTCACTCGCCTATGTTGAATCTCTTCCTCTAAAAAATGTACATTTTGATTTACATCTTTAATACACTTCCTTTGAATTAAAAATTTACTTCTTTTATTCTCTTGGTTTGGCTAATTTATATGTATATTTTTAATTTTCACCCTCCTTAATATCCAATCTATTATAAAAATCACTAAAAGCAAAGCTCATAGCATCACAAATCATTCTCTTAAATCCCTACGAGCCACCTAATATTTTTCCAAGTTCTCTAAGATTTTACATTCAAATCAAATTTTATAACAAAGCTTATATTTTATAATTTGTTGCACATTATTATTCTATCGGCAACAATTTTTACTTACAAATTTATTTTCTTTTGACTCTCCAAGTACATCTTTTGTCACTTATTTAATAGTATTTGCTACATTAGTCCACATAGAATTAACTTCTTCATTAATATCTTAAATCTTAAAATCTTGAAGTTTACTCGTAAGAATAATTTTATTAATCTTTTAGGTTTCTCCATCTAATTTCATGACAATGCTTCAATGTATTTTTTATCTTTCAACTCCTCATCGTGAAACTCATAACAAATAATCAATGTTGAGTAATTAAATTTTCACTTGGAATAACCTTACAATCTTTACATTCTCAACGATATGTTTTTCTCATAAAAAAATAATCAATGTGTTTTATTAGATTCATTCTTATAATTTATTAGATTCATTCTAGATTCATTCTTATAAGTAATAATAAGTTCATCTCTTTTCTTAAATAAAATATTAACAATAACAAAAATCATAAGCTAAACCAAAATTTAATATTGCTCTACATATTTCATTAATTACTCTAAAACCGTAGATACCATGACTATTTCTAAAATTTTATATCACTTTACCAATATGTCAAATTAAATTTCCTCCAATAAAATTTATTTCTTCAAGAAATATCATTTGTATTAATTCTTCTAGGCTATTCCAAAATTTTTCTTGTGAACCTATATCTAAATCTTCTTGAGGAGCAAAAACACATATCACAAAAGAAATCTTAGTATCAACAACAATCTTTAAGGTTATAATTCTATATCAAATTGTATTAGTTTTAACAAAATTATATTTCAAACTCATATCTATGATTACACATACACCATTTCTAACGTGACTTCTATACGAATACCAAAGTTTAAAATCTAAACAATCAATCTCCTTAGTTTTTTCTCTAACCTATTTAGTTTCTTGAATGAATAAGATATTTATCTTCTTATGAACTATAATAAATACTAATTTCATTAATTTACCGAGGATGATGCCTATATTCCAAGATTCTATCCTAATATTAGTTTCATGGACTAACTTCTTTGCCAACATCGGTCAACAATATGAAAACTCTTATTTATTTAACAGTACACTCGAATACCAATATAGCAGCCTTTGCACACTGTTCACTATATTCAGGTCATACATCACGTTGCTTTCAAGGGACGCACTAATATTTACAAGATGACTTAAAGGATTCATGTCATGATTTTTTCGACAAAAAATTTACAATAGTTGTCGACTATCAAACACAATCCTCAATTTTTCGCATCTAAGTCTTGAAACCCGATAATGACAGTGTTCCATAGAAGGCTGCATTGATTAAAATATTATAATTCTCATTGTATATTTAATGATATAATTATTGAAATAGATGACAATGAATGAAGGCAATCAATCGAAAAAAAAATTGCAAGAGAATTTGAAATCACAGAACTAAGCAAACTTAAATATTCATTAGGTATAAAAATTGCACAATCAAAACAAAAAATCTCTCAAAAAATTATAATATTAATTTATAGAGATAAATAAAGATGATTAATTATAAATCATGTAAATTTCAACCGAACCAAGCTAAAAACTAGGCACAAAAGAGTAACGAATATAAGAAGAGGATATCGGGTGATATCAAATATAACTTGGAAAACTAATTTATCACATATACAAAGTAACATTATGTTTTTAATAAATCCCATAAGTCAATTTATGCGCAAACCAAAAAAAATATTACCTTCAAACTGCTTATAAAATTCTTAGGTATTTCAAATGAAATTCAAAAATAAACTCTCTACAAAAAATGTGATATTGTACAATTTGATGGTCAAACACATGCTAACTAATGTTCTTCCTTACTATTTCCAGTTTCAGCCACTATATTTCATTTTTCTGGAAAACCAACCGCAATATATCTCAAAGAATATAAAAATCTAAAGAAATAAATACAGAGTGCAACAACCAATAGGTAAATGAACAAATTTCAAGTACAGCACCTCCCTTTAGGGGAAAAAGGACCTCCCAACTGTCAAAAACCCATCCCAGCTACCTCATCTACTCCTTATAAGCATCTCCCGCATAGGGCAGCTCTCCATTTAAGATGAAAGCATTGATTCCATTGCGGTTGAGAGCAAGATCTCATCTTGCAAGAACTCTTTGAGAGATGAGATAGAAAAAAAAAAGAGAGCGAATAACAATGGTGTACTTTTGACTCCATCGTGGAGCACCAGATGATGACTTGTGAAAAATGTGAAATATGAAACACTATCAGTAACTCAAGTACATTATAACAGAACTATATTCTCCATATACTCTTATGACATATGGAATTCTGTACTAAGATAAGGCCAAAGAAAAGTATAAAGTCACCTGAAGGCCGGCAAACAGAGCAGACTCTAGACCATTGTGGAAACAATAATAAAAGGCAGTCTGCATCTCTTTTGACTGTATGAACAACTTCCTGATCATCTCAATCACATTAATTGCTTCTGTATCAGGTAATAAGCCTTGCTTTTGCGTTTTTATATCATTTTGGAACATAGACTCAGATCTAGAATCATTCAATGAAAAAAAATATGGGCGTGGTTTCTCTGAATTAATCTCCAATGCCTCAATCAGATACCAAAGAGCCTTGCAAGCTTCGCAAGCAGTAGGAATAAAATTTGACGATCCAGACATGAGACTCGATCCTGAGATAATTAAACATTCACACAAAACTTCCACAACTCCCACAGCTTGTGCATGATCAACTAGCTGAATAAAAATTTCTTTTGCAGAAGTGGAAGGGACCTCAGGATCGCCAATTGCCGCCGATGTTTTAAATCCCAAAGCAACTTGAGATAGCATTATTGCAACACAGGCAGTGGACTCGTAGAAAATTCTTCCAGATGTGTCATTGATTACGACCAAAATCTGTATTGACATGAAAAATTAAGAAAAAATGTACTGCCCTGTTCATTTGTTCTACATGGCAAAAAGATACCTGTGAATGCAGTTCCTTGAGGGCAACCCAATGTCTACCATAAGAACTTCCGACTCCGATTCCACTGTTATCCAACAACTTCTTTAAAATTGATAGACTCTGCAAAAAAACAATTAGGTTAATTATATAAAATGGATGCAAGTGAGCAGCTGCTCATGTAGGTGGCAGCACTTTACCCTGGTGCTAGTACATCAAAACTTCAGATTTTTTAGCTAATTAAATAACTAATAAACATCACAAGAAAACCAGATTCACAGAAAACCAACGCATTCTTTTTACAATAAGTGGGCACCTTCATTATTAATCCGTGGGTGTCAGAAATGTTCAGTTTGACGATGAAATTTGTAAATTCAAGTAGCACGCTTATCATATCATCCAATGCTGCGGAAGAATGATGCACTCCAGCTGCTATTAAATTGGCGATAATCCTGATTGACTGGTTTATGTCATCAATATTTAAATCCCTGTTAATATTAATGAAAAAAAAGCATAGTCATTGACCTGCAAATAAAGCATGACTAGGTACAAAAATAAAACCAATAACGTTTCAATAAACAAGCCATCCAATTCTTCCCTAGCACTCATTTAGATTTCAAAGGCGTTTTATATGATTACCATTATCAAATGAAAAATTATCGAATGAATTTCCATTACTTTTTTCTGCCTGTGTGGATACCTTTTTTATATATATATAAGAATAATGCCTGTGTGGATACCTTGAGATAGTGATATGTGCCAAAACCGAAACCAACAAACAAGTTGAAGAAATCAGTGAGGAGAACCATATTATGGCTAATTTTACTAATATCCAGCCAACAAACAAGATACAAAGGTCTATGATTCGAGAGGTAGAGCGGCACCCTACAAACCCTAGACACCACTACAAACAAAAAACAAAAGAGAAAATTGCAGAAATCCAAAACATAAAAACCAAATCCCAAGTTACACCCAACCAAACAAAAACTCCCCTTAATTTTTTTGCTCATCATGTACGTGATTAAAGCCCAGTGTGTCGCACCTGTGCGCTAGAATCTTCCCAGGCCAAAATAATTTTTGCCTCTTCCTACTAACTCGATTGGTTCGGTAACAGTTGAGGTGGGCCAATCGATTGGGTCCAGACCGGTCCCCCTTGGACCAGTGGCCTAACAAAACATCCCTCTCAAAGAAGCACCTTATCTTCTGTACAATTTCATAAGACCTCCAAGTTGCTTTATACTCGGGCAGATCTTTCCACTTAACTGCACCACTTTTGCTCCCGTCACTCCTCGACGCACCCTTCCTACCTCCAAAAATTGTACTACCACATCCATGTTTTCCATCAGCATTGGAGGTAGTGAAGATGACCAATTGTGGTCTCCGATAACACGCCTCAACTATGAAACACGAAACAGCGGATGCAATGATATGATGGTGGTAGCCTCAGACAGTATATCACGGCCCCAATACGTGCCACAATCTCATAGGGTTCAAAATAACATGTGGTAAGCTTCTCGCTTCAGCTCAGCTTCAAATAAATCATGTCCTCGAGCTCAAATTATACCTCATTCTCATTTCCAACAACCTTTCTCTTCATGATTTATTGGGCCCTCAGTAGATATCCCTTGAGTTCTGTCAATATCATGTCCCTCTCTTCCAAGTATTGATCCACACTGGATATTGGAGTCGTACTGTACTTATAATGTATCTAGTGAGGTGAATCCTGCCCATACAAAACCTTGAAAGGAGTGGTCTAGGTTGCAGTATGGTATGAAGTGTTGCATCAATACTCAATCCAAGCAATCAACCTTGCCCAGAGCTTCGACGTATCTGATACAAAACAATGCATATATATCTCTACACTCATGTTGACCCCCTCCAACTATCCATCTGTCTAGGGATGGTATGTTGCAATCCTCTTTAGGGTTGACCCTTGTAATCTAAACAGTTCCTTCCAGAAATAGCTCAGAAACACCTTGTCCCTGTCTAAAACAATGGATTCTAGAACACCATGCCAATAAACCACTTCTAGTATGAACACAATAGCGCCTAAAACCACCGTGTAAGGGTGTCGCAACAGAATGAAGTGTGTATACATTCTTAGACAATCTACTACAACCAAAATCACAGTAAACCCCTCTATAAATTTGTCACCTCCTCCCAAACCTTCTCAGGTAAAGCTAGGGGTTGTAATAAAAGTCCTGGTGCCATCATCAATACTTGTGCTATTGGCACACATCTTATCTTGCTACCATGTCATATGCATCTCGGTGAATCCACTCCCAATATAACTCTACCGACATTCAACTACAAGTCTTTGTACTCCAATGCCCTCGATAACACAAATTGTCCCTGGTAGAGTAGTTGATGTATCCTCAAAGAATATCCTAAATGACTGTTTAGATCATAAAGCAACTCTGCCCTGATCTTCCTCAACTCTTCATCCTGTTCATGCTCACTTTCCTGTCTCAGGGCTTCCCAATCTAAGACCAAAGGTACAGATAAAGTTATCTGTTGGGGCTCATCCACTTTTCTTCATAGTGCATCTGAAGCCTTATTCTACAATCCTAGGAGATATTAGATTTCAAAATCATATCCAAGTAACTTGCATAGCCACCTCTAATACTCCTCAGTCACCATCCTTTGTTCCATCAAATATTTCAATCTTGTTCGACTATAAAGTGTCATCCCAACAGATAGGGATGCCACTTCTGAATGGTCAGGACAATAACCATCAATTACCTATCGCATACGAACTTAAGCCTCACCCTGATAGTGAATGCATGGCTAACATAGACAATAGGTCACTGCACCTGCATGAGTACAGCCCCCAATCCATACCCTGACACATCCGTCTCTCCCACAAATAGGATTCTGAAAAATGGGAGTACTAATACTGGAACGTTGGTCCTGGCTCCCTTCAACTATTCAAAGGTCCTTGTCGCTACTTCCACCTCTTGAAATTTTCTTTCTTCAACTGCTTCGTCAGTGGCCATGCAATTCTGCTATACCCTCTCCTGAATTTTTGATAACACCCGGTGAGACCTAAGAATCCTCTCAAATCTTTCAAGCTCCTAGACAAAGGCTAGCCCAACAAAGCGTCAGTCTTAGACTAGTTTGTGGATACCCCTGCCCTGCTCACCATGTGCCACCACATGTGACTACACAAAGGAGTACTTCTTCAAATTGGCGTACAACCAGTGCTCTATAAATATGTCCAATATTGTCCTTAGGTGTACCATAGGCTCTGTATCTGCATGGTTGCAGAGCAGAATGTCATAAAAAATATCAGAACAAACTTCTTGAGGTAAGGCTGAAAAACCATGTTCCTGAGAGACTGAAATGTGGTTGGAGCATAAGTAACGTCGAATGAGTTCTGAGTGAGTTTTGCGCACATCAACTGGGTTCATCTTGATCTAATGGTATCTCAAGTTCGAATCGATTTTTGAGACGATGATTGCTTCAGAAAATTTGACTAACTACTTATAAATCACTGGAATTGAAAACTTTTTTCATTGCAATTTCCTTGTTCAGCACTATGTAGTCCACACAAAAACTCTAGGTACCATCTTTTTCTTCACCAATGAAACTGAACTTAAAAGGGCTCACATTGGGCTTGATAATCGCTGGTTCAAGCATCTCCCGGATGAACCTCTCTCCCATCTTTCTAAATCTGAGAAAACAGACATGGCCTAATACTAATTGAACCTCTCTCCCATCTTTCTAAATCTGAGAAAACTGACATGGCCTAATACTAATAGGAGAACACCCCCCATCAATGTAATGGCATACTCGTGCTCCCTTAATGGTGGTAACATGCTAGGTTGCTGAAAGATGTCGAAAAACTATTATAGAAGCTGTTAAACACCCTCGGAGAACTTTGCTAACTCGAGGCCCCATTTCTCTTCTATACTCTACAACTCCACCAAATAGCCGCACCCCGCTACCTATATCATCTTGACCATGGGTTTGAGAGACCATGATTCTGCACAAGCTAGCACCCCCTCACAGTACCACCTTCATCCCACCCACCCTAATCTCCATTTTTCAATTCACCTTCCTCACTACAATGGTTTGCAGTCACTTCATTCCCAAAATCATATCAGTGCTTCCCAAATTCAAGGGAAGGAAATCATCCACCATCTGGAGGCCTTATAGTGTCAACACCAATCCCCTTCAAATTTCCACAGCTTTTCTCCACATTCACTGTCCCTATCATGATTCAAAGCTTTACGTATCTACCAGCTTCAACCCCAACTGATCACGACCCGATTTGAGATGAAATTGTGAGTGATCCCACAATCCACCAACACTTACACTTCTGTTACATCCAAGTGTAAGTGCTCCCCCTCCACCATTTCTTCCTTCGACTCCTCACTAATTGACACCTCCCCCTCGCAAACTAAAAGGAGCTAAAGTGTGCAATCCTTGCACTGATGGCCTGGAGCTTTCTTCTTATCACATCGAAAACATAAACTCGTTGCTCTCTTATCCTACAAATCTGCCTCTGTAAGGCTCTTGAAGCTAACCCCACGATAGGCCTATGCATTCCTCTCCTTTGACGCCTCCATCTGAAATGATACTGACAAGGTCCTCAATGTCATGGTGGTCAAGGTTGTCGATTTTGCTGGTTTTCTTCATCTGGTTCTTGTCTTCTACCATCCGGGTGCGCTCTCATCTCACTGAATCCTCGCAGTGTCAAAAGTCAGAGTGTTGCCCCATATGTTAGGCTTTAGACCCTTAATAAAGTTCCCCTCTAATCTTGCATTAGAAATCCCCCTCAATCATCCCGAATATAGCTCGAATCTCTCCCTATATTCCATGATAGATCCCTCCCAAGTCAAGGCATAAAATTGCTTGTGTAGGTCTCCTTGAATAGCTCCAAAATATTCCAATCAGCAATCCTTAAATTTCTCCCACTAACGGATCGGGAATCTAGCCTCCCTCCACTGAAATCATACTAGAACTTTCATGTTCCCCTCCAACTCTGCTTTAGAAATCCCCATCAGTCGTCTTGACAATAGGTCGAATCTCACATATTTCATGACTGTCCCCTCCTAAGCCAAAACATAGAACTGCCCGTGCAAATCTTCTTCATGAACGTTTCAAAAATGTTCCAACAAACAATCCTTAAATTACCCCCAGAAAAGGATCGGATATATAGCCTCCCTCCACTAAAATCATGCTAGGACATTCCCCTCCAAATATAACCATGTCGCCATGAGCTTCGCCTCATTTAGCCCATTCACTATGAAGTATCGCTCCACCCAATAAACCCACTCATGTGTGTCTTCGCCCCACAAAAATGGGCATCTTTAACTTCCTAACCCTAATATCATCACCACAACTTCTTCTCCCTTTGATGTTTCCCCCCATGTATCTAGGGTGAAACACCCTCCTTCGATCATAGTCATAACCCATTCTGATTTCTCAAATTCCTTCTTCGTGCTCCTTCCAACCCTCTCATAATCCCTCCTCCATGTTTCAA